ATGATGATATGAAATATACTATTGAACCACACAGATTAAATGTATCCAAACAAGAAGCAATGAATTTGTTGAGGTGTCTCAATCCTAGACAAAAACAGGTGTTTTACAAAGTCAGACAATGGTGTTTGGACAAAGTGAATGGTAAAAATCCTGAACCGTTCCATGTATTTGTCACGGGTGGAGCAGGGACAGGGAAAAGCCATTTGATTAAATGTATTTATTACGAGGCAACAAGACTTTTTGGAAGAATGGTAGAAAATCCAGACGACATCTCAGTTTTACTTACAGCGCCTACAGGTGTTGCTGCATATAATATACATGGCGCCACTATTCACAGTGCTTTGTCAATAACAACAAATGTCAGATTGCCGTATCAACCACTGAGTGAAGAAAAGATCAGTACACTGCGACATAAATTGAGGCAACTACAAATTCTGATTGTTAATGAGATTTCGATGGTGGGTCATAAACTCTTGTGCTATGTTCATGGTCGTCTGCGACAGATAAAACAATCTAGAAATCATAGTCCTTTTGGAAATGTCAGTGTATTAGCTGTTGGTGATTTTTATCAGTTGCCCCCAGTAAAAGCAAAATCTTTGTACCAGACTGATGTTACAACTGACTTGTGGAATGATAATTTTGTCAAAGTAGAACTGACTGAGATAATGAGACAAAAGGATGATGCACAGTTTGCTAAAGTATTGAATAGATTACGAATCAGAAAGAGAAAGGAAAGCTTAGGAGCTCATGATAAGAGACTGTTACAATCACGTGAGACTGGAGAAGATTGGACTGATGCTGTGCATATTTATCCTTGCAATAAACAAGTGGATGAGTACAATACACAGACCCTCTTTGCTAAATGTTCAGATTGTGTATGTGTTCTTGCTAAAGATTTCCAGAAAGATGCAAAAAGTGGGAAAATGATATCAGTAGTGAAATCACTCAAGAAATCCTCAATGACTAATTTACCTGATGCTCTGTGGCTTGGTGTTGGTGCTAGAGTCATGCTTACAAGGAACCTTGATGTATCTGATGGACTTGTTAATGGAGTATTTGGAATTGTAAATGAAATTGTTGTATTAGCTAATGATCGTGAGCAGTCACCTAAGTTGATTAAGGTAAAATTTGACAATGAGAATATTGGATCAAAATTGAAACAAACTTCATGTATTAATGATAGAGATGCTGTCGGTATTGAAATGGTTGAAGAAAATTTGAAAAAACAGTGTGTCCGACATCAGTTTCCACTCAAGTTAGCTTGGGCATGTACAGCTCACAAGGTTCAGGGTATGAGTTTGGAAAAGGCAGTTGTATGTTTGAACCGTACATTTTCCGCAGGACAAGCTTATGTTAGTTTGAGTAGAGTTGTTTCACTGAATGGTCTTGTGATAGAAGGGTTTGATGAGAAATACATTTATTGTAATGAGGCAGTAGCTGAAGCAATGAGTAAAATGGCATTGTACATTGAGGAGTCTGATGAAAAGGGAAGCAATAATGTACATGCACACGTAGGTGATGAAAATGAAATCAAGGGTGATGTATGTTTCAGCACAAGTATTGCTATGCATAATATTCAAGGACTTCATGCACATGTAATGGATTTAAAATCTAATGATGAAATGTTGTCGTGTGATTTCATTTGCCTGACAGAAACATGGACTGACAAACTTTGATTGTGATATGGATATGAGTGACTATGAATGGTTTCACCAACCAAGAAGTATGTCTTATGATAACTCCAGTCATGTGGCATGTATGTTGAAAGAACAGTGTCATGGCGGTGTAGCTGTGTGTGGCAAAAAGGACAGGGTGTTCAGTAGGATGAATTTGCCAATTAACAATCTTGAATACATCGCATTTGGGTACCATGTAATTTCAAACGAGTCATTACCAGTAGTTGTTGTTATACTTTACCGACCACCGTCATATACATTAAAGGAATTTGTAAAGGTGCTTGAAATGTTGCTAAATGAGATACACAAGATTTCAAACAAGTGCATTGTTATGGGCGATTTTAATGAAGATATCATGACAAAAGAATCTTGTGTGAAGAAATTGATGGATGATCATGGATATAATCAGTGTGTAAGTTATGCAACAACTGAAAAAGGCACTTTACTTGACCATGTTTATGTGAGAAATATAGATTGTGTTGATGTTCAAATTAGTCCAACTTACTACAGCTACCACGAAGCAGTCATTATTCGGTTGTGACTTTATAAATGAATTAGTTTGTATTGCTCAATTTTAAAACATGGTTTGGTTGTATTTTGAGTGTTTTCAGTAATGCACATTGTGCATTTTCAAAGAGACAAGAATATAATATTTCAGCTGTAAATTGAAATGAAATTGTAAGCAATGGTAAGAGAAAAAAGAAGTGCATACAAAATGAAGCATTTGTAACCTGAATAAGAAAAAGGGTAAAACATGCAATACTAAACAAGACAGACAAATAGTTGTGTAAGCCAGATGGATCAATAGTCGTGTAAAGCAGACAGATCAATAGTCGTGTAAATCAGACGGATAAATAGTCGTGTAAACCAGACGGATCAATAGTCGTGTAAACCAGAAGGATAAATAGTTGTGTAAAGCAGACAGATCAATAGTCGTGTAAATCAGACAGATCAATAGTCATGTAAATCAGACAGATCAAAAGTCGTGTAAACCAGAAGGATAAATAGTTGTGTAAAGCAGACAGATCAATAGTCATGTAAATCAGCGGATCAATAGTCATGTAAATCAGACGGATCAATAGTCGTGTAAACCAGACGGATCAATAGTCATGTAAATCAGACAGATCAAAAGTCGTGTAAACCAGAAGGATAAATAGTTGTGTAAAGCAGACAGATCAATAGTCATGTAAATCAGCGGATCAATAGTCATGTAAATCAGACGGATCAATAGTCGTGTAAACCAGACGGATCAATAGTCATGTAAATCAGACAGATCAAAAGTCGTGTAAACCAGAAGGATAAATAGTTGTGTAAAGCAGACAGATCAATAGTCATGTAAATCAGCGGATCAATAGTCGTGTAAATCAGACGGATCAATAGTCGTGTAAACCAGACGGATCAATAGTCGTGTAAATCAGACGGATCAATAGTCGTGTAAACCAGACGGATCAATAGTCGTGTAAATCAGACGGATCAATAGTCGTGTAAACCAGACGGATCAATAGTCGTGTAAATCAGACAGATCAAAAGTCGTGTAAACCAGAAGGATAAATAGTTGTGTAAAGCAGACAGATCAATAGTCATGTAAATCAGCGGAGTAATAGTCATGTAAAGCAGACGGATCAATAGTCGTGTAAAACAGACGGATAAATAGTCGTGTAAAGCAGACAGCTATAACTGTGGAGCATCGTTGTCAGATTCACAGCTGTGTGTGCCATCTCACAGAGTCCGTCTGCTCATCAGTGGATAGTTACTCGCTGTGATTGTGGAGCATCGTTGTCGCATTCACAGCTGATTGTGGCATCCCACGGCGTCTGTCTGCTCATCAGGCGATGATGATGATCAGTGGATGATGAGGATTACTCGCTGTGACTGTTGAGCATCCTTGTCACATTCACAGCTGAGTGTGGCATCTCACGGAGTCCATCTGCTCATCAGTGGATAGTTACTCGCTGTGATTGTGGAGCATCGTTGTCGCATTCACAGCTGATTGTGGCATCCCACGGCGCTGTGATTGTGGAGCATCGTTGTCGCATTCACAGCTGATTGTGGCATCCCACGGCGTCTGTCTGCTCATCAGGCGATGATGATGATCAGTGGATGATGAGGATTACTCGCTGTGACTGTTGAGCATCCTTGTCACATTCACAGCTGAGTGTGGCATCTCACGGAGTCCATCTGCTCATCAGTGGATAGTTACTCGCTGTGATTGTGGAGCATCGTTGTCGCATTCACAGCTGATTGTGGCATCCCACGGCGTCTGTCTGCTCATCAGGCGATGATGATTACTCACTATGACTTTATGGACCATCGTTCTCACAGCTGAGTGTGGCATTTCACCAATCCTTCTGTACATAGGTGGTTGTTGACGATTACTCACTTTGACTGTGGAGCATCGTTGTCACATTCACAGCTGAGTGTGGCATTTGACCAGTCCTTCTGTTCATTGGTGGTTGTTGACGATTGCTCACTATGACTGTGGAGCATGTTGTCAAATTTCACAGCTGAGTGTGGCATTTCATCAGTTCTTCTGTGCATCGGTGGTTGTTATCGATTAGTTACTCTAACCGTGGATCATCGTTGTCACATTCAGAGCTCAGTGTGGCATTTCACTAGTCCTTCTGTTCACTCATTATGACTGTGGAGCATGTTGTCACATTTATAGCTCAGTGTGGCATTTGAACAATCCTGTTTATGTATGGATGATGACAATAACTGTGGAGCATTGATGCCACACTCACACCTTGAACCTCGCAGATTGGCACTCGTTTATTGAACATGAGTTGATGATGACCATCATTTTTCAAGTATGGGCCCTGGGCCGAAGGTTCCCTTTAGAATGGTAAGAAAAGGAAAATTTTGGGAGACCGCTTAAAAAAAACATGAAGTCACTTTGGATTTCCATTCCCGTACTCAGATCATTATTACATGTACATGTAAGTGTATGCTGTACAGTCGAACCCGGACAAGAAGAGAGCTTTGTTAATACAAGATCCTGCTTATTTATAACAGGCAAAACTTTAGGTCCCAAGTCTTTGTTGTTCTTTGTGTTCCTGTGTTTTCCATTACTGTTAATACAAGATACCTGTTACAAATACACAAAAATGTACATGTATAACAAGGTAATTCGTAAAGACCGAAGGACCTTGTTATAAACTTGTGCAGCTCTGTCTTTGTCGCTCTTTGTAAACAGAGTCCTTACTATTAGAAGAATCAACTGGTATATTTGTTGACTTCATTGTTTTATAGTGACAACAATTTTGTTCGGTAAATATGAAGTCTCAAAACTGATTTCAGTTTTTGTTTCTTGTGTTCTGTGTGTAGAATTTGTGCATGTGCGACGTGGACGTCATTGAAGAGAAGACTACCCCTTTGTTGGAAACTGACTATTGGAAATATTTGCACAGTTAATGTTTTTAAAGGTAAGATACAATTAGCTGTAGCTGTGTAAATTAAATCATTCTACATGTATATTTTTATTGACCAGCGGTAGTAAACAGCGGAGGTAACTTGCAGCAACCGATTTTCTCCATTGATCTTCTGTTTCAAATTGGTGAAAGTGTGATAAAGCAATTCTAACTAATATAGTTGAAATGAAGTAGAGCATGGTTGTTGATAATGACCTGATCAAAAGGGAGTTGTCGCACTTTTATCCACAATATTTTATGAAAGATCTAGCAAGCACTCATTGGCCGATTTCCAGTGAGTCTTGTTCTTGACATGGGTTTATTATTCTTGCAAACTTCGACTGATAGGTGGTGTTGTGAGATCCCTATACAAGTATAGATATTTTTAAAATCAAAATCCATGAAAAGTGCTGAAATCATCGGTGACGTGTTTACTGCATGTTCAGACCAGACCACATGATAGGGTGTGCGTGTGCATTACGTCCGCAACGTGTTCAGCATTTACGGCAATGGCTGTCAAACACACTTTGGCACATGGTTGCTGTAGCTTGTATTGTGCACATGTGCCACAGAATGCAGTTTTAAAACAAGTCTTTATCATAAAAGACTGATGTTTGAAATTGCCAGTTCAGATCACCCATGGACCAGTAATGGCCTGTCAACCAGTAGGAATGCATAGACTGTCTTGGGCATATATTTTAGTACGAAGTTAAATCTAAAGAGGTTTTCATTCAACTACAGTAGTTAAATTTACATACTTGGCTCAATTTTTTTGTTCTTCAGCTCACCTTTAGCATATAGGTGGGCAATGATGTGAAGGACGACTGATCACCTGTCAACCATGCCGGAGTTCTGTCAGCCACCTCTTGCATCACTGTGATGTCACAGGCTACTAATCACAGTCCATCATCCAAGTCCAAGTACCGTGAGTCATCTCTTGTACCACTATGTCTGAGGCTACTAATCACCCGTCAATCATGCCGGCGTTCTGTCAGCCACCTCTTGCATCACTGTGATGTCACAGGCTACTAATCACAGTCTGTCATCCAAGTCCAAGTACTGTATGTGAGTCATCTCTTGTACCACTATGTCTGAGGCTACTGATCACCCGTCAATCATGCCGGCGTTCTGTCAGCCACCTCTTGCATCACTGTGATGTCACAGGCTACTAATCACAGTCTGTCATCCAAGCCCAAGTACTGTACGTGAGTCATCTCTTGTACCACTATGTCTGAGGCTACCAATCACCTGTCAACCATGCCTGAGTTCTGTCAGCCATCTCTTGCATCACTGTGATGTCACAGGCTACTTATCACCTGTTATCCAAGCTGAGTAGTGTGAGTCAGTGTTGTAGTCCAGACTCTGCAAGGCCATCACAAGACCAGCACAAGTCTCCAGTCTGAATTCAAGTCACAAGCTTTTCAAATGAACTACAACAAAGGCATTACTTTGTCATTGTTCGTACCCTGGTCTTGTGAATGGTCTTGTGCCAGTTTTGTGCCAGTTTTAAACACAAGTCTGTATCATTACTAACGGATTTTTAACCTGTATATAGCTGGGTGATGGCTATAGATGCAGCTCGATGAAAGACAATAAGCCAAGGCACTGCTATAGCCGCATTCCTGCTGCATAGCCGCATTCATTCATAGACAACGGCCAAATTGCCTGCACTTACATATACATGTATTCCTCTCATATTGCAGTTGTATATGGCCGAACAGTGCCAGGGTTAAGGAGTTAAATTGCCTGTTCAGACCAGCCACACAACCGGCTCTCCATCAATCAGGAATGGAAAGACAGTCTGTGGCATATATACATAGGAAATATCTAGGGAGGATTCTTTTCAACTAATAAACGCCATATTTATATACTTCTACTCAATTTCTATTCTTTGTTCCATGTATAGCATTACTATGATGTCAAGGACGATTAATCACCTGTCAACCACGCCCGAGTTCTGTCAGCTGTCTCTTGCATCACTGTGATGTCACAGGCTACTAATCGCAGTCTCTCATCCAAGCCCAAGTACCGTAAGTCATCTCTTGTACCACTATGTCTGAATCAAAATCCTTCAAAAAGTGCTGAAATCATCAGTGATGTGTTTACTGCATCTTCAGATCAGACCACATGATAGGTTGTGCGTGTGCATTACGTCCTCGGAGTGTATGCCATTCTACCTGATATATCTTCAGTTGTTCTCAAACACAGTGTGGCACATGGTTCATGTGGCTTGTCCGCATGTGCCACAGAGTGCAGTTTTAAAAACAAGTCTTTATCATAAATGACTGATGTTTTAAATTGCTAGTTCAGATCACCAATGGACCGGTAATGGCCTCTCAACCAATAGGAATGCATAGACTGTCTTAGGCATGTATAAGTAGGAAATTAATATCTATGGAGATTTTCATTCAACTTCTTAAATTTACATATCTAATTCAATTTGTTTTGTTCTTTGCCCCATGTATAGCATTACTATGATGTGAAGGACTACTAATCACCTGTCAACCATGCCGGAGTTCTGTCAGCCACCTCTTGCATCACTGTGATGTCACAGGCTACTAATCACATTCTGTCATCCAAGCCCAAGTACTGTCGGTCATCTCTTGTATCGAACCACTAATTATGAGGCTACTAATCACCTGTCAATCAAGCCTTGAGTTCTGTCAGCCACACGTTACATAACTGTATTTATTTAAAGCCTGCAAATCACCTGTCATCCCATCATGAATATTGTGTGCCATCTCTTGCATCACCTGCCATTCAAGGCAGAGTTCTGTGAGTTACCTCGTTCATCACCGTGATGTCAAAGGCTACTAATCACCTGTCATCCAAGCCAGACTTCTCTATGTCACCTCTTACATGCTTCTGATGACCTGGATGACCTGTCGTCCAAGTATGAGTTCTGTGATGTCAAGACTGTATATTTGTTGTTTAAGCCTTTGTCCTGTCATCAAACTCTTGTATAAACATGTGATGGTAAAGGCTTTTATCATTTGTCTAACAGGGCTAATTTCTGTCAGCCACCTCTTGTATCAGCGTGATGTTAAAGGCTATTAATTTGTAATCCAGTTTGAAGTACGCCCTTACATTTAGTCCAAATTATGTATGCATGGGCGTTGCGAGGGGGGGGGGGGGCAAGGGGGGCACTTGCCCCCCCCTGGAAAAGCCACCCAAAAAAAAGAAGAAAAAGAAAAGAAAAAAAGAAAAGAAAAAGAGGTGCGAAGACAAAGTGGTGTAAATTTAATGAGTTGGGGGGGGCAAAATGTCCCTGCCCCCCCCCCCCTCTAAAACTGATAAATCGAGAATGTGTTGAGAAATACAAGCATTTTTTTTGCAAAATTTTTTTTTGCCCCCCCTCTAGAAAAAATCCTGGCGACGCCCATGTATGTATGTGTTGAAAATCATTTCACACTTGTAGAGTGACTCGAGTTTAAGACTGTGAGGCTTAAGGTCCACAATATGTTGGTTACACTGCAAAGTGACATTTGTGCTGTACTCATTGATCATCATACAGATACTGTTGTCTGGCAGCTTCTAGGTTAATACCAAATTGAAAGCCCCTTTGAATATGGACATTAATTTGTAAACTAAACAGTATGTTTACTTTGAGGGAAACATTCGGGAAAAGAAGCGGCTTATATTCATATGTTTTCTCTAAATGCAATTAAGTCTAATCAAAACTTTTCTTATAAAAGGTATGTTAATGTTATTTAATTGACAAATTGAAGTACACCTTAAAGTACATTGTAAAAAAAAACACATTGATCAATGTCTCATATTACGATCCATTTTGCTTCCTTCACTGTCAGAAATTCGTTCAACCAAATCTGTGTACATCCAACATTGGAATATTGTTTTATTTGTTAATGTATATTTATATACATTTCGTTTCTAATTTTTTTCTGTGAAAGTGAAAGGGAAATAAATATTAATGAATTGAAGTGAGTTGCACTTCCGGTGTCTATGCATATACATTACTTGTTATCGTTGTAGCTTCCTTGAAGTCTTGCCTGTCAAATGTGAATGCTTTTTATGGCCTTGTGCTTTCGCTAAAGTAAAGGAATATATGGACACATTACTTAAAAATGAATTTATAGTGTCTTACAACTACATTTGTATTTCCCACCAGTGAAATCAAATGCTCCAAAAAGACATCTTTAGCTTAACAAAAATCCCTTAAATGATATATTTATTAAATACCGAAGGAGAATATGTTCAATGTAGGCGCTTCTTATAATTGTGCAATGGGACCGGGGGGGGGGCACTTCAAAGTTAATATCACCTGGCACCTAATGATGTCATGATCACGAATTTCTTCTAGGACCATCTGTGGGTGGTAGTCTAAGTGTGTACCAAGTCTAACGTCGATCGGATTTACGAAAGTGCCAAAGTAGAATGTTTTAAAAAGTGTACAAACCCTATGGGGAAAAGTGCATCTTTAATGTGACGTAACCCAACACCTGATGACGTCACGATCACGAATTTCTTCTTGGACCATCTGTGGGTGGTAGTCTAAGTGTGTACCAAGTCTAACGTCGATCGGATTTACGAAAGTGCCAAAGTAGAGTGTTTTAAAACGTGTACAAACCCTATGGGGAAAAATGCATCTTTAATGTGACGTAATCCAACACCTGATGACGTTACTATCACGACTTTCTTCTTGGACCATCTGTGGGTAGTGATTTAAGTATGTACCAAGTTTAAGTCGATCAGATTTACGAAAGTGCCCAAATGGGGGTGCTTTAAAACGTGTACAAACCATATGGGAAAAAATACATCTTTAATATGACGTAACCTGACACCTGATGACATCACGATTGCGAATTTCTTCTAGCACCATCTGTGGGTGGTGATTAAAGTATGTATTAAGTCTGAAGTCGATCAGATGTACGAAAGTGACCAAAGTGGGGTGTTTTAAAACGTGTACAAACCGTATGGGGAAAAATGCATCTTTAATATGACGTAACCTGACACCTGATGACGTCACGATCACGAATTTCTTCTAGGACCATCTGTGGGTGGTAGTCTAAGTATGTACACAGTCTTAAGTCGATCGGATTTGAAAAAGTGCCAAAGTGGACTGGCTGAAGAAACGTGTACAAAACCTATGGAGAAAAAGTCTTAAAAAAAAAAAGAAAAAACTAGAGATGTGTTTGTGGACAAACACAAGCTGTTTCGGATATTCAAAATACTCTGTGCACGTGATGAACAATCAGTGACGTCACTAAAAATGTCATCTATAACAGCACATTATTCGTACATGTCAAGTTATAACCAAATCGAATATATAGGTCTGTAAATATAGGCCTATGAAGAACAAAATGCCCCTTTAAGGGACGTCACATGACATTTGATGATGACATCACATGAATTTTCATCTATAACCCATCTCGGCATTGGTACGATCACGAATTTCTTCTAGGACCATCTTTGGGTGGTAGTCTAAGTGTGTACCAGGTCTAACGTCGATCGCATAATTTACAAAAGTGCCAAAGTAGAGTGTTTCAAAACGTGTACAAACCCTATGGGGAAAAATGCATCTTTAATGTGATGTAACCCAACACCTGATGACGTCACGATCGCGCATTTCTTCTAGGACCATCTTTGGGTGGTGGTCTAAAATTGTATCAAGACTGAGGTCGATCGGATTTACGAAGGTGCCAAAGTGGAGTGTTTTAAAACGTGTACAAAACATATGGGGAAAAACGCATCTTTAATGTGACGTAACCGAACACCTGATGACGCCACGATCACAAATTTTCTTCTTGGACCATCTGTGGGTGGTGGTCTAAGTGTGTACCAAGTGTAACGTCGATCGGATTTACGAAAGTGCCGAAATGGAGCATTTTAATACATGTACAAACCCTATGGGGAAAAATGCATCTTTAATGTGACGTAACCTGACACTTGATGACGTCACGATCACGAATTTCGTCTAGAACCATCTGTGGGTGGTGGTGTAAGTATGAATTAAGTTTAAAGTCGATCGGATTTACGAAGATGCCAAACTGGTGTGTTTTAAAACGTGTACAAAACATATGGGGAAAAATGCATCTTTAATTTGATGTAACCTGACACCTGATGACGTCATGATCACAAATTTCTTCTAGGACCATCTGTGGGTGGTGGTCTAAGTATGTACCAAGTCTGAAATCAATCGGATTTAAAAAAGTGGCAAAGTGGATTGGTAGAAGAAACGTGTGTTAAACCTATGGAGAAAAAGTCTGAAAAAGGAGAGGGGGGTAAAAAAAAAAAAAAAAAAAGAAAAAAAAAAAAAACTAGAGGTCTATGTCTGTTTGCAACAGAACATAGGGCTTTTCCGCATTATGATTTTTTTTAATCAATAATATGCCCTGAATATGCATGAACATAAAATTTGTCAAAGTTAGCCGAAAATCGGCTAAAACGGTCACTGTGGACAGGATTTGACCTCGGCAATACGATGTATGTGTGTGTGTACAAGGTCTTTGCTTGGACAAAGAGTGATCTAAATAAATCACTGGCAAAGAGTCAAAAACGCACTTTGAAAATCGACAAATATTTATAAATTTTTTGATGACGTCATCGTGAAGTCACTTCGAACTTTGCATACTAGTATGATTAACTACCTACCCACCAAGTTTCATGACAATTGGACCTTTCCTTATATGAGTTTGGAAAAATCGCATTTTGATGACGTCATGATGACGTCACACATTTTTCAAGTTTTGTGCGAATAGCTATTACATAACAGACCAAATGCAAAAAAGAATTTTGCATTTTGCATGTTGCGTTCGGGAGATATGGCTAAAAGGTCCAAAAAAATAAATATTCATATTAATCTCAGGATGAAGTCATCATGACGTCACCTCATTTTTAATCTATAACACATCCTGGTATAGCCACATACCAAGTTTCAACCCAATCGGACTTACATTTCTGTAGATATAAGACTTCACAATATGTACGTAAAGTTTCAAAAATCAATTAAAAAATTAGGTGATGACGTCATCGTGACGTCATAGTCTTGACATAATTTTTGTATGAGGGTCTTCCTTGGCTATAACTTTGATGACGATTCCAGACCGCCAAGTTATAAAAATGGTGGCTTGAAAACGTGTACAAAGTCAATGGGTTAAAAATCCAACAGCAGAAAAACTGCACCTTTATATACGTGATTTGCCTTTAAACTGAAACATTTTTATGAAATATTACTTGATATTCTGACTCTTGGGAATATTTTCAATCGAATGGCAAACGTAAAAAAATACGATTTCTTTTTCCTTCTCATAGTAATTCTCGGCCGAAGTTCAGAACTACTCAGTAAGATATATCAGTGTTGTATAGGAAAAGACTTGTGGAGAAAGCTGTGTACAAAGTCTATGAGAAAAATTAATTATTCATGAATCCATAATAAATCACTTGATGATGACGTCATCATGATGTCATAGTCTTGGCATAATTTTTGTATGAGGGTCTTCCTTGGCTGTAACTTTGATGACGATTCCAGATCGCCAAGTTATGAAAATGGTGGCTTGAAAACGTGTACAAAGTCAATAGGTTAAAAATCCCACAGCAAAAAAACTGCACCTTTAAATGCGTGATTTTCCTTTAAACTGAAACATTTTTATAAAATATTACTTGCTATTCTGACTCTTGGGAATATTTTCAATCAAATGACAGGCGTAAAAAAAATACGATTTCTTTTTCCTTCTCATAGTAATTCTCAGCCGAAGTTCAGAACTACTCAGTAAGATATATCAGTGTTGAATAGGGAAAGACTTGTGGAGAAAGCTGTGTACAAAGGCTATGAGAAAAATTAATTATTCATAAGTCCATAATAAATCACTTGATGACGTCACCATGACGTCACTCTTCGGGACACATCTTGGCTATAGGGACTATGCTTATGCCAACTTTCAATGATATCTGACAAAGATTAATGCCAAAAGTGCTATAATACGTCCCTGTCTATGCGCGTGCATGAACATAAAATCTGTCAAAGTTTAGCCGAAAATCGGCTAAAACGGTCACTGTGGACAGGATTTGACTTCAGCAGCACGTGCGCTGCAGGCTGACTGACATACGATGTATGTGACTATGTACAACGTACGTGCATGTACA